CTCATTTTAAATTAATACTTTTACTTTTAATACTTAACTACAAAAAATATCAGATACTTTAAGACTTTTACTCAAGTAATATTCCTGAAGGAGACTTCTACTTTTACCAAAGTAATTTTTTGATAAGATACTTGTACTTTTACTCAAGTATCACTTTGTGGTACTTTATACAACACTGACATTTTGTATGTCTGCGTGATTCAGGGTTTCAGTGTAACTCCAGCTTGTAAGAAATGCCAGGGCTGAGAGCGGTCTATCACTAGCTGAGGTCCTGGTCCTGGTCTTGGCCCACGGTGGGTCTGAACCTTGCACAGAGTCTCTGCTGCATTGCTTATGAAATGTTCCATTTGCTAATCTCTGGAAAAATAAGCCTTTTGCACAGCAGCAATTTAACTGCAGTTAACCAATAAAAGACTGTATGTTTTCTCTGCCTCAGACTATAATCTGCCTCATGTAGGTTATCCATCCTGAAAGAATGGTGTCAGACTCGTGCAGAACATTCCACATCGAGAGTGAGAGGAAGGTGAAGGCCGAGGCCCAGTTTGGGTAGAAAATCTGCTGTAAAAAACAATAAACTGCAGAACTCTGATAATGTGGCTGAAGTCTAAATACAGGAGAATATTGTGCACATGTGCAGGTCCATGCTGAGGCTTCTGACCAGCAGCAGGTCATGTGAGACTCACTTAGTGGGATCAGCTCCTTTGAAGTAAGCATTAACCGATTCTGTGAAGGCCACGGCAATGGGCAAAGCATCTTGGGATGCCAGGGTCACAGGGCTGGGACCGCGAGACGTTCCTGAGAATGGAAAAAAATAAAAATAAGGCACAGAGTGAAGGGTCTGTTTGCTCAGCTGCCGACGAGGCTTTCAGTCCAAAACAGTCCGAATTAGGAGGGTTTGATTGTGCAAAGGCAGGTTAAATAAACACTGCATTTCATCATGTCAGCTTTTTAAACACTGCAAAGGAAAAGGACCATGTTAGTTTTAAAAAACAGAAACAAATGTCCTGAAACCTGCATCTCACTGAACTGGGGCTGCTGGGGTTTGTGAAGGGCTCTCCAACATATCTCTAATTCTTTGCATCAGTTTTCAGTTCACAGTGCGAGTCATGGAAGCTACATAGGACATAAGTAATTGGAATAAAAACGTGTCATGTAAATGCCCCAATCGGAAAATCCTCGTCTGATTCAGCTCAATCAGAATGAATCTGTGATCCGAATGAGAGGTGTGGTTTATACCAACTGATAATCCCAACGGCCTTCATGTAAACCAGGGGTGTCCAAACATTTTGTCACATGGGCCAAAATCATAAAGTCATAAGGACTTGAAGGCCAAAAATATTTATCTTTTACCAGCTCAACAATAAACTAAGCACTGAATACTTTTATTAAACAAATAAAGTAGTCAGATTTAGTCAATTCTGATCAATAAAATCAGGATTTAGGTCAGTTTTTTGTTGAAAATGTTTTCTGTTTTCAGCCAAATTTGATAAATTAATTAAAACCAGATTGGAGGGCAGCAAAAACAGCTTTTCAGTAGAAGTCACTAGATGTGGAAAAAGCTAGGAGTCTGGTTATTTAAAGACAAATAATTGGCGTTGTTGCCAATATTTGTTATTGGAAGAAGATTTGACTTTGTGATCATTTTGCACTAATAAAAAGTAGAAAGTCTTGATCTACATCAAACACCTGTGCCAGGGGCACAAATGTGTAGACAAATGCGTATAATTCTTGAACTGAAGTCAAGGGCCACACCAAATCACTTCAGGGGCCACAAATGGCCTCCGGGCCACACTTTGGACACCGCTGATGTAAGCACTTAATCTGATTATCTTATTCTGCTTGTAGAAAACTGACCTGACTGTGGATGTGAGCTCTGTGTCAACCTGACATACAGTTTTTCCAGTAAGAAGTTAATATTTGAAGCAAAATTGATCAGTTATAACATTTCTATTAGAAACTTTGAAAGAGCTCAAAATTGAACGCCTTGATGAAAATGTAGGAACAAAGAGATATTTAAGCGTTTATTTTCACGTTTGTTTAATTTCATCGTGGAAGTTGGACTTCTGTGTTTTTTTAAGGGAACTTTTACAGCTCTGCGCTTGTCAGTACTTCTATTCTGTAAACGCTCATACTCTGATTAATTCGTTTTGTGCCAATATAAATGAAACATTTGGATTATTTAACACAAATACATTTCAATCCGCTCAAAGAATTGTGTGCATGTAAACACAGGCCTGGCTACTGGCTCAGTCTGACTGCTCAGGATTTTCAACATGTTCAAAAAAATTAATTAAGTGAGCAATGTTTTCCCCCCAAAAATGTCAGTCATTGTGAGAATCTCAAACTTGTGTGAATTTACGTTCTTTGTCAGAAAAACAGGGTTCATGCAGGTTTCAGTAAGTTAAATTTAAGACCTTTTAAGACCATTAGTAATGACATTTAAGACCAAATTGACGCATTAACAGAAACATTCAAAGGGTCTAAGAAATGTTATAATAGAAACTTTTTAATGTTATCAATTTAGTTATTAAAGAATATTTAATTTTAATACAAGAACACTAAATTATTTGAATGAAACGGTCATATCTGACTGCTGTAAACCGCTTTCAACAAAGTGAAAAAAATCACTGATATCAAGTCAAGTCAAGTTGAAAATACACTTTCCCCTGTTTAAACAACAAGCAGTGAACATGACTGAACTTTTGTTTGTTGAGCAGGTAAATAAGCCGCTGTATGTGGGGTTGTACAGCGGGTAAAATAAGTATTGAACACATCAACATTTTTCTCAGTAAATATATTACTAGAGGTGCTAATGACATGAAATTTTCACCAGATGTTGGTAACAACCCAAGTGATCCATACATACTGAAGCATCTGTCACTAATTGGATCAGCAATTGACACAGCTGCAAACCATTTGAGTCCTCCTGGTGGTTTTACTATTTAAGGC